GCCACGAATTGGACAATCTTGGAGGTTGGTTCAGCGCACGGTAACCAAATTATTGCGATAATGAAAATGTGACAGTCCCCTGTAGCCACACACGCCGCTGTCTGTAAATGTCAGTTCATGTTGCGTGCGTTTATCGGAAGGATAGTTAAAAGCGGCCGACATGAACCGTGTTCGGCGTTCGAGTCCCCCAGGGAGCGCACGGTCAATCACTCGGTGTCTCAATCATCTTAAAACATTAATACCGCACGTCATAATTCTCCTGGATACTCTCTTTTTAATAGCATTTTATCCCTAAGCTTATTGTCATACCTTCGTATTGATAACACCTCCGGTCTTTCCCTGTTGTTAACTTTCCCTGGACCTGTCAAGACGTCTTTAATTTTTCAGCCATCATCCGAAGGACGGTGGGGCACCAATTTTGCGCAGGTCTCATTTAGAGTGCTTTCCACTCCATCAAACGGGTGTGACATACAGCTTTGTTTCGTGTCAGTGACTTGCCAAGCTTTTTTTTTTCTGGTTGGAACCTGTTAGTTGCTCAGTGGATTTTCTGATTTCGCCAACAGGTCTGTATTTATTTTTCCATTTAACAGAAAACCTGGGGTAACGTGGACGGAAACGAGGTAACAAGCTAAGGATTTTGGTAAGTGCAACTTTCGATGTGAACAGTTGAAACCAGTTCTCCAGGCAATTGAAACTTTTTAAGATGTGCCTGAAAACCCTCCACTCCAAGTGTTAACTGCGGTATTGGGACGCAGACTTTAGAATGTGGTGACGCAAGAGAAACTTTTTTAGGTGGATTATCGAACCTCAGATTCCTCTTATTACGCTGCTGCCGGTACTTTCAACATCGTAACGTATTCAACTCACGCCCTCGACTCATCAATTAATTATATTGTTTAGTGTTCTCCAGCTTTGAAATGTTAAGGTCGGTGCCAGGCGTCGGTCGGCCTAACGGGATGACATAATTATTGAGAAGCTAATTGATGTACAAGTTGGAGAACACTCATTGTTTGCTTTGAATGTTTTCATGTGTCATTTATTTGAGAAACGATCCCATTATTCTTATCGAGGTTTTTGTTCCGAATGTGCATTAGCAGATAAACCCGGTAGGGCTGAGTTTTACCAGATAATAATGTTCTTGTGTTTTCTCCGCAATGTTAATATGAGTAGGACCAGTACCCAAGCAATGTGTACTCTCTCACATTAATGAGTGCTGATCAGCAATAGCCAAACCAGACATGACAACTGATTATCAAGAGTACATTACGCTCCAATGCCAAGCCTTCGCCAATATTTGCATAGCCGGTGGCGCATGTCATTCTCAATTAGAGGAAGCACACATTCGGGAGCAGAGTTAGGGAACGATCCGTACAGCGATATCGTTTTTTTTTAATAAACGTAATTTGGTTGGACGTAACACAAACACACGCACTGATTCGTGTAGGGACCTTTGCGATATGTATAGCTGTATAGCCATGCCCTTAAAGGTTAAATTTATGTCAGAATCATTTGTACTCTATGTGCAAGGACAAGAAGATCTAGATTGGTGATTAATCTTATTTTATAGAGATTGAGCTACTCTGAAAATGAATCACTTCAGTAGAAACTCGAGTGAAAAATCGTCTTGTCCTAGTTTCAGTCGGATAGAACGAATGCTCACTCGAATAGAGTGAATGTGCACTACTTGGAAATAGGATAAGAATCGTACCTAGAAAGACTTTACAGTTTTTGCCAACCACTATCTTGTCAGACTAATCCCTGCCGTAATTACAAAAAGGTTGTATGTACAGTTTTTATAAAATGCCATTCAACTTGAGTGAGAATCGACAGCCAACTACCAAAACCTACACTCAATCGACAACCTACTACTCGACAATCTACACTCAATCAGAAGCCTACTACCGCTATTCTCAGTCGACAACCGACTATATCAAAACCAGCACTCAATCGACAACCTTCTACCTAAACCTGCACTCAATCGACAACCAACTATACCAAAACCTGCACTCAATCGATAACCAACTACACCAAAACCTGCACTGAATCGACAACCTACTATAGCAAACCTACACTCAATCGACAACCAACTATACCAAAACCTGCACTCAATCGATAACCAACTACACCAAAACCTGCACTGAATCGACAACCTACTATAGCAAACCTACACTCAATCGACAACCAACTATACCAAAACCTGCACTCAATCGATAACCAACTACACCAAAACCTGCACTGAATCGACAACCTACTATAGCAAACCTACACTCAAACGACAACCAACTATACCAAAACCTACACTTAAACAACAACCAACTATACCAAAACCTACAACAGCCTTCTAACTATGTGGTAACACCAAAGGTTAATGATGCCGTTGTTGGCAAAATCTGTTGGTAATCACGATATTCTTTACGGAACCTATATGGTCACTGTTAAAAATGTCACCCAATAAAAAAGGCCTATTATTTATGCATCAAATCCGATGCAACTGCTCTGTTGTTTTAATCAGGACTTTTTTTAATGAAAAAAACTTATCCAGAAGGTCCCTTCGTTTCACTTTCAGTGTTCGATTGCATTGAAGCGGATGTCGCAAAACTCACCCTTTTTTTATCAAGCCAGTAAATATTGACAATAATGCACACAATTGTTGTTGTTGTTGTGGGGAGTGAATTTCTTTATTACATTACAACGATCTAAAAGTCTTGAGCAGTTATCGACAAAATCGAAATCCACACTGAAAAACAGTCACAGACGGCAGCAAATTTCCAAAACTCAGAGAAGGCTTTTGAGAGATTTTTTTTTCACCGAGCTTTTGCGGCGTTACCGCTGCAAGCATTAGGCCGCCCCATACCAATGCCAATAGAGCCCTGCGTCTCGTTTCATTAGCGGAAATTTCCCATGGTAGCGCACTAATGCATGCAACAAAGCGAATTAGAAACAGGCAGCACAATCATATTACATGTATCGCAAAAATCAGACGTAAACACTTTAGTTAGAATTTCTAGTCAGCGTGGTATTTTCCTCACAGCTGGCATGTTGAAGAAATGTCTCACAGTGTTCTGGCGTTCAAAACTACATGAAATATCTAGTCGAGGATTTTGAAGCCGTAAATGGAATCATCGATAAAATAACCGTAACATGTTTTGTCTCTACAATTTGGGTAAAATCTAATGTTGCTTTACATCACCCCGACGCGAATTCCATAGTTTCACTGCAGTACCCGCTGCTACATCAGATTTGAACCAGCCAACCGATCCCGCAAGCTCGGTGGTCTAGTGGTAAGACGTCTGCACTAGAAAGCAGGAGGTCGTGTGTTCGAGTCCCACCCCAGTGATTTTTTTCTAACTTTCACTCAGGAGGTAATACACTGAGTATACACTTTTAGCATTTAGCTTTGGAATTCGCAAAAAATCAACTCCAAACTTCTAAAAAATCTGTCTGTATTAAAACGTATATTTAAGTTCACTTTCTTGAAATCCTACTGCTAAATGTTTCAATTTGTTTATGTATACCTGTAAATTGCTGACCTGTCGTTGTCGTAGTTGTATCAGTCATATTTGTTTATTCCCATCCGTTGTAAGTTTAATTAAGAGTATTTTGTGTTTAATTTTCATGGTGCTTGTGCATTGAGCCTGGTCATTCATATTCCGGTGTACGGGTCCGATTACGAGTACTCAATTTCTTGCACTCGTTTACTCGCACACTTGTTTTCTACTTTTCTTGTACAATTATTTTCTTCCAAAACTAAACAAAACAACAAATTAACAAAACAAAATCTCATTATTCGGCTCAATGCACATGCATGCTCAGGTGCCCATTTCTTACAAGCTTTGCTTCTTTATGGGTCCCTCCACAGTATCTTTCATACTTATTGTTTCATACTTATTGTTTGCTTATCTTCGACTTTATTCACAATGTTTTTCTGCTATTCTCTATTAGATTCTCATTGTCATTATCATTGATATTTTTTTGATACTGTCGAAATGAACTGAACTGAACTGAACTGATCAGTGTTTAAATACGTTAGTGAAGGGCAAAACCTAATAATGATAAATCAGCCTGACGCAAATTCCATCTTATGAATATTTTTGTCTCTATGCTTAAAATGCAAAAGCATATCCAGGCTGGCCTGAAGTAAGCGAGTATCCACAATCAACGCAACAATCATTGCATCAATACTGATTTTTTTTAACGATAGTAGCTGCAATTATCTCTAACCAAGACAGCTTCCAAGGACAATGGATCGTACCGTTAGTCAGGGATGAATGGTATCTTTTACCTTTGACTTATCTGAATAATTTACTACGGCCTGGTAATGCCAACCATTGTTCACTCACTTGGCATTCCGCGCGCTCACATCTTCTCTCCACTTCATTTCACTTCAATTAGATTTCAGCCTTTTCCCTCTCTATAATACACGAAGTGCTTGAATGGATTTCCCGTGTTATTATCGAATTGTGCTGAGGAATTTTCAGACGGATTCATATTTTTAGTGGGAGGCGAATTCGCTTCGTTGGCCTTTAGGGTAACGACCAACGTCACAGTGAAACGATTGTCGACGTCATGAAATTCACTTCGCGATCGCGAAGAAATATGAGCACGAAATGTCAGACAAGAAATGTCAAACGTATTGGAAAATGTAACATTTATATTTACGGGTTTGTGGCTTCCGACTAGCGCCCCTTGAACAGAATAATATTGACAAAATGGGGAACCACCAACGTAGGGCTGGATAGCTCAGTTGGTAGAGCGCCGGAACGGCAATCCGGCGATCGCCTGTTCAAACCCCGCTCCAGTCAATTTCTTAGTCCAAGTAAAAAAAAAATGTATATTTCAGAAGATTTGGAGCTGTTTGTGCAACTGCTGCCATGAGACTTCCATTCATCTTATGTATTTTTTAAACATGGAATGGAAGTTTTTATTTTAGGACAAATTGTGGAAGAAAAGAAATAGTCATGGAAGCATTTTGTGAAGACAAACAGTAAAAACGGTCTTACCTCAGCTTCCGCACTGATAGGTAGTACGGCGTTCAGGCCAACCACCGCAAGAACCACGATCAGAGACCACACACTAAGCCTCATGTTGACGGTTTGGTGTCTCCTTCAGTCCCGCTGCCTCGTCTCGCTATCTACGGTAGGTGTGTCGGGTCCGTTCAGCTCCCCGCACTCAGTAATCCACGGTCGAGATTTATCTCAGCAGCTTACAAAAAAAATTGTCCCCGCCCGATTTCCAATGTTGATCTCTCAACTTCTCCTCCCAGAAGCACCGCTGGCTCGCTTATAAACCGATTGGGTTCCGCGCTGTCGCGCGCCGATGGTATTCATGTTTGCCACGCGCGGCCAATCAGAGTCGCGGTGCGTGCCTCGTGCATATTGATGACGGCGCGCGTACATGCGCAGTGCTGTTTTGCGCTTACGACGTCAGCTGCCATTCGCAGGAGCACTGGGGAGTGACATTACTTCCGGAAATGTGTAGGAATGCAGTGACGTCATGGCATGGTAGCTTAACAATTAAAAGTTCCCAGGCAATAGGCCCATACTTGACAACAGATCTCTGTTCGTACGTAAGCATCTTCAAGTGACACCCTGAATTCCGGAAAAAGCGTAACCCTGCGCTATTTTTGTTCAGTACTTCACCTTTTTTTTCTTCAATTTTCTTTCTGGGGCGTGTATCAATTTTTGTGGGGAACGGCTGTTATTAAACTAGGTACACCGAATATCTTATGTCTGCTATTATTGAATGAAGTGAAAACTGCTTCAAACTGCTTACTGATTGGATTGACTTGAAATATACAAATCAACAAAATTAAAGGGCCTAACCTTTCGATCCTTAAAAAAAAACATAAAGTCTGCAGCTGCTTTGCACAGGAACACATTCTGGTCGGAGATTTTTAAACGAAGATCCCGTTTCCTCCAATCGATAACTATGGTAAATCTCAAAGTGCATAATAGACCGCACATAACGGGAGGATACTTTTTGTGTTTAATGAAACCCGAACCACAAGTTTTCATTACAGTCCGGCCTGGCAGGACCAATCTCGTAAATTGCCGACGGCACACAGTGGGCAAAGCGTTGTGGCTGTAGTGGACACAAGGTATTAGAGAGGCCAGAGAGGATCTATAAAACACACACGGCGGACCTCCGTTTGTCTACTATTAATGAACGGGCCAACTCTCCCGCCACCATTTACCACCGCCTTTCCTAAACTAGCAGCCGCGCGAACGCACACACGTACACCCCGCCAGCGCGCCATTCGACGGCCCGCGAAATTGTTTCCAATTTGCCGCGGAATATGGTGCCAATTTCCACCTCAATCGCCCCTGTGACGGAGATTGGAAAACAAACGCGGAAGGGGTGAAGGGGCGGCCTGCAATCACAAGAGCCAATATTAACACTGAAATTATTCCCTAGATGGTGAGCGAGCGAATAAGCGGGCGGGCAAAACTCAAGTAAAAAAAAGAGAGAACATTATACTCCGCACTCCATCACGAAAGCGGTATTTTCAATTTGGATTGAAATCACTAGGTATCCGTCGATTGTATTGTTTATTTTTAATTACCGTGACGGGGACAGATACTAGCGTTTCCACGACCCGTAGAAATTGAGATAAATAGAGTACCAGTTCGTCTCTTTGTGCGTGTCAGATTTACAACAAACAAAAAAGTGTTCTAGTAATTCTCTTTTTTCGGCTATACTTTAGACCGTATAGTTTGCTACACAATCCGTCAAGTTGCTGGTTGCTGTGACGCAATAAAATCGCATAGTGATGATCTCTTAAAGATTACCAAGTTGATCATCATACTTGGTCCAATTCAGTTGGAAAAGTGGTTTCTATAGTAAGTGAGGATAGATTCGCATGCAGGTCGTTCACACATTCAGTTATCAAAATGAAGGGGAAATACAAAATTAATTTGTGCGACAGAGAGAAAATAAGGCCGGTGAATGCTAGGGGCCGAGCGGATTATTGGAATGTTTGTTTCACGCCAAATTCTTTCAGAATGCAAGATACGTCTCGACGCACCAGAATGTGGGCAAAATGCAATTTTAATGTTCTAATACAAGTAAAATTCGCTGTTGAACTTAATGTCGTTTGGTATTTCATTATTAGTATTATTTTTGTCGAAAATAAGCATATGTTGCCACGAATGTTGCCGTGAATTATTCTATCGATAATTCAGAGCAGAATTTTATTACGTCTGTGCAAAGACAAAACATTCGTAAAACTTTGCATATCTTAGGAACAAAACATGCTACATTCAAAATTCTTTTTGTATTAGGTTTGGTAGGTCTTAAATAAATGCACAAAATTTCAAAAATGTGTGACGTCATCAAAAGGCAATTCTGTTTTGAAAAACATGCAAGGGAATGTCCTACTGTTGGCAAACTTGGTGGGTAGGTAGTTATTGATACGAGTATTCAAAATCTGAAGTGACTGATTTCTTATGAAATTTTATAAATTTAATATTTTTCCTGTTGCAAAAGTTGACCTGAAATACAATCAGATTGACTTCAAACTACGCACAGACTAAGACCCAAAGGTACAGTTGGTCCCTAACAAGTGACATCATGATGACCTTATCATGGGTCATGTGACGTCATCTTAAAGGTGCATTAGTTCTGTATCTAGAGATCTTCAAGGTCAATTGGGTTGAAATTTTGTAAATACATAGTCAGGTATGTGTTATGGATAAAAATTGAAATAATTTGATGGTTTCATTTGGTTTTTTTAAAAATACATCTGCATATCTTGTGAGCGAAAAATGCTAAATTCTAAACTCCTTCTGTAAGAGGTTTGGAAGGTCAACGATATCTTGCCAAAAATTGGAAAAATGTATCTTGACGTCATCAAAACTGATTTGTTTGTTTTTTACAATATCGAATGAAAATTTCATTTTGAAGTTTCCATGTTTCAGTTTTGATTTTTCTTCGAAGTGTTTTGAATAATTGTGAAATGAGAGAAATGAAACAAATTGATAGGCCTTCCTTCAAAAATCAACCATCAGTAAACAACTTCGCGGAAAAGCCAGTTGCATTGTTCAATGTGGACAATCAATAATTCTGGTTTTACCTTGCTCCTACTTTTCCTAATTTGTGTTACACACTGTCGTATGTAAATTACAAAATGAAGGTCTTGGGAGAAGGAGTACTGCACCTGTACTTCCAAGAGCTTAGTTGAGGATGGAGCACAAGTGTTGTGAGTACAGAGCATGCGAAACGTGGCTTATGATGCTGTGGTCAGGGTGAGTATCTACGAAAATTACTTCTTAAAGCCGCAGAAGTCCTACTTTTATCCTGATTTTGTCCTCCAAACTGTCCAAAGTCCTACTTTTTTCCTGTTTTCTTTTTATTTTGATCCTACCGTTCTCCTACTTTTTCACCTGGTTCTTCTTAAAATCAGATGGATATTAAGCCACATTATTATCCAAGATCAGACACTATACCTTTGTGAGTGGGCGAGTCAGAGATCCAAAAAAAAAATCCTGTTTACGAAGAACGCAGTTCGATGCTCCTTTAAGGTAGACGAGAAATCAATATGAGCACGGAGATAATCTTGAGGGCTTCGCGCTTTGCGACCCTCCGTATCCCGAATCGCAAAATCTGGAACACTTTCGGGTTTTAATATCAAAGAGAGAAATGTCCAATCTTTCGGCGAAACGTGACCAAATTTTTTTTTTCCAGGCTGGACGTTGTTGTCAGGTGAATCTTCTATTTGGCCTGCATACATGTTAGAATTCTGCAGTTCTCAAGCATATGGGAGATGAAGATTTAGTCGCCTTGGAGATAAAGCCTGGATGATTGTGAGAACATATGCCGTTCGGAAATTAGAAAGATTGCTGCACATGGCCGTTCCATTTTAGTTGCGGGATAGCAGCTCGACAAATCATCATGTCTTCCCGTTAGTCCGTTAGTTAGTTAGCAACAAACGTTGACATTCTATTGCTCCTACATATTTTGACCGATTTCAACCAAACTTTGCCAAAAGTATTCGTAGCCAAGCCCCAACATGTCACGTGACCAAACTGTGGTCAAAGGTCATCATGGGGTCACTGGGGTCAAAACCCTGATTTTTTTTTTACTCAAAACACTACTTCCAGAAATTACATGGCACAGAAATTACATGACTCGTGCATGTATACGAATTTGTTGTCCCACAGCTTCCGAGATATTTTCGATTGAGCTTTCTATCAGAGCATACGCATCCTTGATTTTTTTTCTGCTTGCAATAGTGAGTCCACCAAGTTGAAAGATATGTTTTGGTCTCCACCGTATAAACAAATCTACAAGCTGAAAGCTTTTGTTCACCTGCAACAATGGAGAATGTATAAATTGAGTGGACCTTCAGAAATAAGAGGTTTTGTATACTTAGCAGTGCGTTGATACGATATATACGTATGTATAGTTATCATAAAAATGAAGGCCTTGTTGAAAGGGGTGAGAACTCTATTGCAATCGGAAATCTTTGGAATGGATTGAATCTACGTATTTTTTTTATGTATGATAATGAAAATAATAATTACCAGCGATGGGTCATTTAGGGACAGATTCCCATAGACTTGTGCACACAATTGTTCAAACTTAAATGTGCCATAACCAAATACTCCCTTATCTTTTTTTCCCATGAATTTTGGCCTTTTTTTACTAAAAAGACAACGAGCAACAAACCTAATTGCGAAAAGAAAATTTAGCCTCTAAAGGGGGACTGTGACAGTAGGGAGATATCTAAATGTCCGGTGTCTCCTTACTTCTATTAAAAGGTACAAAAACAGGTCTCTCAAACGTACCATTAACATTGGTGCATTTTCGGGTAGGGCACAGTTTCTTTGATCAAAATCCTGGACTTTAATTTCGCCTACTGTTTTTTTTTCACACAGAAAATAACAAAAAAGTATTAATTAACTCAAGATTGTCATCGAGTGCAGGTATTTATATCGGGAGTAATGAATCCGCCAGCTTTTGCCACACACTTTCCTCCGCACTCGAAATGCCCCAATATCATATCCCACGCTTTTTTCTCATCTTATTTTCGCGCCAATCAAAGTTTGCAGCTTTCATATCGTCTGCTCGCATCTTTTTTTTCTCTGCCGCAGTCATCAAGCCCACTCGGCGTTGCACGGTGTGGTCTGCAGCCCCGTATACATTTCTCTTGTAACCTTCACCGTCTTTCATTTCGTCATTTCCCAGAGGCACTTGACAATTGAAGGGAAGTTCCAATGACCATCTTCGCGCGCTCTCACCCATCCGAAGGAAAACCATCCAGAATTCATC